TAAAACTTAATGCAAACCTTATACAAAGACAATTGACACATATTAGGAGGGAATCTTCATTCTTAACTGATGGTTGTAAATTTGAAATGGAGCAATAAAGTGACGAGCTGCTCAAGATATCTACGAATAACGCTTTTACCCCTCACTAAGTGCATGTGTAAGAAAGAACAGTCAAAGCTTAGCATGAACTATTCGGACACTATAGCTGCTAGAATCAGTACAGGCGTAAAAGAATCTTTCGACCGCTACCACATAACTAATAACATCATGATAGAATGTTTTTTGATGGCACTACAATCGGTGAACGAGCCAACATTCAATCATTTCTCATGTTTTGCTGGTTTGTTTAGTGTAAAGGTGCGTTCAGAAGAGCTAAGACATTGTAGTTCTGAGAGAATGTTGTCTAAATGTTGGAAAAAAGGTGCGTAGGGAATAACTTCGTTGATTAAAAGTTTTATCATAAGTAGCGTCATAGTAGTTCACTGGAAATTCACAAGCTCTTCTCAGTTTGGTTTGGGAAATCCTGTTGTAGTCTAAGAGAATTCCCTTGAAATGCTTTAGGCATAGTCTCAATCTGGCTCAAAATTTTTGTACAAACTTAGTGTATGCAATCACTACTTTTCTGGCATTTTGGTAATTGTTGTTCATCTTGTAAGAATATTGTTAATTTAATAAGATGTGTGCTTAGAGTATTTTTTAATTACTATGATATGTATTGAAAGTTTTCCATGTTTATTTTATACTTTCTTACCATTTTCAAATAACAAGGTGTATTTATGCGCATGTCAATAAATATTACTGATAATTATGAATGATCAGGTTTTTTCAGAAATATAGTGTAACAAAAGTGTTCTTCAAAAATTACGTTCACATACAGAGATAATCAAAATACAAAGGTTTCTTCACTTTTGCGGGAGATCTCGAAAGTTAAAGTCTGACATAAAAACTTTCAGCGTTTAATTGGACTCATCCAAATGCATTCCTGATTTTTCAACGTTCAAGTGTAGATAGCGGCTCAGTGATAGTGTTGTGATGAACGTCGAAGCTTTGACAAAATTATAGGCGCAAGTGAACTATGATTTCTATTTCAAGATCGATATCGAATGAGTATTCTCCGGATAGACAATCTAAGAAAAAGCTTAAACA